TTGTAATTTAACAACAATCGGGCATATATCAGTTTAAAATAAGACATATACCCGATTTTTTTTACTTTGACTAGTGTCATGTAAATCAGTTTAGGAACAAAGTAATAATCACATGCTTAGTGCAAATGTAGCAAAGTTTGCATCTTAGCACAAGACAATTGTTGCTAGCTATTTTGCTATAAAATAGTGCTATTTTAGGTGCTATAAAAATTCAAAGACTCTGATTAGGATTCACAAATGCAATCTGAATTATAGAATTTTAAATTTCACTTTGCTTTTACTTATATATTAATTATTATATATAATTTAAAATTTTATATGTATTGAAATTTGATATTTTTTTAAATCTTTAATAATCACTAAATCAAAAAATTTCACCCATATGAGTTAAGAGTGGAGTGCTGGCTAACTAGCTGGTGGTACAATCGATGGACTTTAATTAAACTTTATACTGTATACATTCATAACTTCGATAGCGGTTATTATTTTGGTCATTATAATTAGGGAATATTATATTTATAACACCGATATTATATATAACACCCTCTATATTTTTGAATTTGAGTTAGATTAGGTTTAGGATGCAGCTTTAATATACTGTATATAGAAGTTTTTATATAATATAATATATATACTAGATATAATAGTACCCTAGCCATGGCGAAAAATAGTACCCTAGCCATGGCAAAAAAAAGTGTCAGGTAAGTGAGATTCTACTTGAACTACCCCGTTCTGATTGGACGAAATTGATGATCCCTAATAACAACATTATATAACTTTTCTCAATTTTGAAAGAAGATATCTCGATAAATATCTATCTAAAATCAATAAAAAGTTTCTATTTTTAGTTATGTGAACCCCCGAGAATTAAAATAAAAAAATTTCTATTGATTTAGATCTGTAGTTATCGATATATCTTTGGTCAAAGTTTGGAAAAATCTTTGCTAGTCTTACTGTTTTTGATAGTCTCTTAAGTTTTCTCTAAACTTTAAACGAAGATATCTTGGTAACTACTTATTTATAATCTATGAATTTTTTTTTTCTTTAATTCTATTAATACAGAGAATTGAAATAAAAAAATTTCATTGATTTTAAATAGGTAGTTATCGAGATATCCTCGCTCAAAGTTTGAAAAAAATCTTTGCTGCAGTCTTTGATAATCGCCTAAATTTGCTCTGAACTTCAAATGAGGATATCTCTATAACTACCTATTTAAAATCGATGAAATTTTTTTAATTAAATTCTATGAATGCTGAGTATTAAAAAAAAAAAAAACTCATTGATTTTAAATAGGTAATTATCGAGATATTCTCGCTCTAAGTTTGAAAAAATCTTTGCCACAGTCTTTGATAATCGCCTAAATTTGTTATGAACTTCAACCGAGGATATCTCCATAACTACCTATTTAAAATCGATGAAATTTTTTAATTAAATTCTATGAATGCTGAGAATTAAAAAAAAAAAACTCATTGATTTTAAATAGGTAGTTATCAAGATATCCTCGCTCTAAGTTTGGAAAAATCTTTGCCGCAGTTTTTGATAATCGCCTAAATTTGCTATGAACTTCAAACGAGGATATCTCCATAATTATCTATTTTAATCGATGAAATTTTTTTTTTTAATTCTCAGCATTCATAGAATTAAATTAAAAAAATTTCATCGATTTTAAGCAGGCAGTTATCGAGATATCCTCACTCTAAGTTTAAAAAAAAATCTTTGCTGCAGTTTTTGATAATCGCCTAAATTTGTTATGAACTTCAAACGAGAATATCTCCATAACTATCTATTTAAAATCAATGAAATTTTTTAATTTAATTCTATGAATGCTGAGAATTAAAAAAAAAAAACTCATTGATTTTAAATAGGTAGTTATCGAGATATCCTCACTTTAAGTTTGGAAAAATCTTTGCCACAGTCTTTGATAATCACCTAAATTTGCTATGAACTTCAAACAAGGATATCTCCATAATTACCTATTTTAATCGTTGAATTTTTTTTTTTTTAATTCTCAGCATTCATAGAATTAAATTAAAAAATCCATCGATTTTAAGCAGGTAGTTATCGAGATATCCTCGCTCTAAGTTTGAAAAAAAATCTTTGCCACAGTCTTTAATAATCGCCTAAATTTGTTATGAACTTCAAACGATGATATCTCCATAACTACCTATTTAAAATCAATGAAATTTTTTAATTTAATTCTATGAATACTAAGAATTAAAAAAAAAAAAAACTCATTGATTTTAAATAGGTAGTTATCGAGATATCCTCACTATAAGTTTGGAAAAATCTTTGCCACAGTCTTTGATAATTGCCTAAATTTGCTATGAACTTCAAACGATAATATCTTCATAATTACCTATTTTAATTGATGAAATTTTTTTTATTTAATTCTCAGCATTCATAGAATTAAATTAAAAAAATTCCATCGATTTTAAGCAGGTAGTTATTGAGATATCCTCACTCTAAGTTTGAAAAAAAATCTTTGCACAGTCTTTGATAATCGCCTAAATTTTCTCTGAACTTCAAATGAGGATATCTTCATAAATACCTGCTTAAAATCGATGGAATTTTTTAATTTAATTCTATGAATGCTGAGAATTAAAAAAAAAAAAAAATTCATAAATTTTTAAAGAGGTAGTTATCAAGATATCCTTATTTGAAGTTAAGAAAAAATTTAGGCGATTATCGAAGACTGTAGCAAAGATTTTTTCCATACTTTGAGCGAGAATATCTTGATAACTACTTATCTATATTTAGACAGAGATAACTGAAGACTGTATGCAGGGTAAGTAACTATCTCCAAAAAGGAAACTTAATATGGATTTTATTATGTCAATTCATAACCGAAGGCTGTATACATATATGCAGGGTAAAGTAATGTATGGATTTTATTATGTCAATTCGAAGTTTGTATGCAGGGTAAAGTAACTATCACCAAAAAGGAAGTTTAATACACTTTTTGTTTCTTTTTCAGAAACTTAGAATATATGTACATATGTATGTATATGCACTCAGGTAAAATTATTATAAGGTGTAAAATTGAAGTCGCAATAAAAAATGTATTTTGAATTCTTTATTAGAAATGTATGTATTAAATGCCCATCGGGTTTGCAAGAACATAATTGTGCAATTATGATTGTGTAAATATGTAAGCTTGCAAAAAAAGAGAAAAAGGAAATTATAAATAGTGAATATAGTTGAAAAATATATATAAATCGTGCTTCCCAACCTCAAATAAAGATTAAACTTCAATCTAAATTTTAAATAAATATTATTCAGAATTGTCTTATATTTATTTCAATAAATTTTTGCCATCCTATTATAAAATATCTTAATAAAATGAGTGAAAGCAGTTCATCAACCCAAATCTCTAGAACTAAAAGATGTGATGATTGTCACACAGTAAAGAAAATTGAAGTTTTTTGCCGACCTCGTAGTAATAATCCATTATATGAGTACACAACCTATAATACATGCTCTAAAAGGCGTAGTAAAAAAAAAAATTAAAAAAATCAAACTGACCTTAATATGACAGTTCCGACTATTAGCACTTCTAGTTCTAATGCTTCAGCCTTTTTCCAAATCAATAATATCCTTGAAAATTATAATAATGAACCAGTATCGGAACCTAATTATCTTTTTGATGATGAATTTGCAGACGTGGTAGAAATAACAGAGCATGATGATGATGCTGATACACTTATATACTGCATGGACGAAGTAGAGAAATTCATTTCTATGCAGTTTCAGAATGCTGAATCATCTGAAGAACCTACAAATTTTGCATTCAAAATTGAATTAGATCCAGGGCTTTTAGATAGTGTTGCACTTAGCCAAGATCTTGAAACGAATCTATTAGATTTGGAGAGAATCAAAAATAGTTTTGCACAACTTACTAAAATTCCCATGTTACTATTAGAATCTGGATCTAAATATTATTGGGAAGTGCGAAAATTATATATAAACTTTAAAAGAAAAAAATTTGCCAGAAGTGCTACAGCATACCTTAATTGTGCATCACGCAAAGACTGAGGCTGGCAAAGACCAGATAACTAGGAGGTAAAAAGGTGAAGTGAAGCTTGGGTTGCAATACAACGATTCTCTTGTAAAGGCAAAATTACAATTAATATGAATATAATTCAACAATGTGCAAGTGTACAATATAAGCATTTGTGCCTACCCATCATATCGACAAACAGAATTTCCAGAAGAAGCAAAACAATAGATTCGAAGGCATCTTAATTATAATTTACAAAGTTCAAAAATCTACAGGTATCTAATTGAAAATAAATTAATTAACTTAATATATACAAAAGAACAAGTATATTACTAGGTATCAGTTTATAGTAAACAAACTTATATTACAAACCAAGATAACCAGCTTTTATCATCTAAAGCATATCTTGAACGGCTTGAAATTGCAGCTAGAGAGTTTAAAATTCTTTCTTATTTTGATAACAATTTTGTACATGCTTTAGGATTTGCTACTCTACTGCTTAATCAAATCGGTATAGAAAAAATAAATGAAATTGTAGTAGATTCTACATTTAAAACAAATTAAGAACGATTTGAATTGTTTGTTGTAAATGCTAACTATAATGAATATGGCATGCCACTTGCATATCTATATTTATTAGTATTAAACAACTATGAAGTAGATCATTATCCTGAAGATAGAGTTATTACCCGTACACAAGTTCTTGAAGAATTCTTCATTAGCCTTCACGAAGAAGGATTGCTACCTTCATTTGTACTATTGGATAAAGATATTGGACAAATTTTAGCTATTAGTGTAGCTTGGTTAAAAACAAACATTCAATTATGCTATTGGCATTTGAAACATGCTATTAAAAGATACTTGAAAGACAAAAAACCACGATCAAATACTTATACTAATACAAAAGCATTAGAAGCTCATCAACAGTTCAATTTCATAGATCCATCGTGGATTCCAACTAGTACTATTAAAAGTTTATATCCTAAAGAAGTATTCAATAAAGTTATTAGTATAATTAAATAGCATGCGAATATACATCTATTAATTCCAATAGAAAAAAATATTTTTTTGAATTTGGCACAAATATATTACCATTGCGTCCAAGAGATTTATTTTTTTTGTTATAATCATGGATATTGTGAATTGTGGAGATACTTTTGGTTAAATTGGTATAATAAAAAAAACTGGATGATATTTGCTCGCTCTTCTTATTTACTTGCAATGCCTTTAGCAAGAACTACTATGATTACAGAAAGTCATTGGCGAGTACTTAAATACAAGTATAAGTATAACTACAATAGGCCACAGCTTGATCGCCTTACCAACATTCTTGTAGAACAACTAGTGCCAGACTTCGACCTGATGTTAACCCACTATAACATAAGTCGGCACTTTCCATCTTGGTGGCAGGCCTTTAAAAAAGATTGGGATAAAGCTATATCTGCAAATATTATGCCTAATATGGATGAAAAATATCAAGTGAACTTAGATAATTGGGTATGTTCTTGCCCAGCATATGTAAATAGCCGTTATCTTCTTTGCAAGCATTTAGTTGCAAAGAAGGGAAAAAATTTTTGGCCTACCTTTAATAAAACAACAAGATGGCATAATTATCCATTTATTTTTTTTTGAAAAAATAAGCCTTCGGCAATTTTTCAACAAAATGATCCATGGAAATAGCTAGAATAACTATTTCAGAAGCAAATTCTAATCTTGAGAATCCTGTTGCAGAAGGTAGTTATTCAAGTGGCTTATGAAACATATCAATAATAGCACGGGAAAATAAAATAGAAGAGAGGCAAGAAAAATATATCTATTATAAAAAAAAATTTGAGAAGATATTAGAATTGTATAAGAAAGAAATAGATAATAACAACTTTATAAAAAATTTTGATACTTTAGTAGGACTATTTGTAAAAGCAGTTGATGAATACAAAGAAGCTTTACAGGCCCATAAACAGCAAGGTATTCAAAAATCAAACAATAAAAAACTTGCCTTTTGGTTACGTTAGTTGATAAAATAATTACATATTCAACCTTATTACTGTAAACACTTTATACTTATCTATTTCAACCCCAAATTCCTCAATAATAATGATAATCAACTTGATCTATTCCGTTTGAATTATTTATCTCTGCAGATTTTTGATAATTAATAAATGCTTTATTCACCAAATTCCTCAATAATAACGATAACCAACTTGATCTATTCCATTTGAATTATTCATCTCTGCAGATTTTTGATAATTAATAAATGCTTTATCCTCATTTTTTCAACCCCAATTCCATGTTACCGATCAAGTTAGCATACATTAGATTATATATATTAGTATCTTAAGTAAACTAAAAAATAAAAAATAAAAGTATATATATTAAATTATTACCATTAACCAAATTGATATAAATAAAATTAATGTGAATAGATTATTTCAAGATAAATGAACATTATATTCACCAGATATATTAATAATCGAAGAGAAAAATTAATGAATTGATAATTAGATTATTACAAACTGCCAATAAATAAATAAATATTATATTTACCAAATAAATAAATTTGAGAAGGGAGAGGTGTGGCGACTTAGTGTAGTGGTCTAGTCGTCACCCTCTCCAAGTGGCAGGTCTAGAGTTCAAATCCCACTGGC